CTTTTCTATTGCCCTGAGTTAATTCCACCCTCCTGAGCTTTGCAAGTTGATGTGGCCACCTGAATAAGTCTTGATGGTCATCCTTATAATAAATAAATATTAAAATCTGTATAGTGGCAGACAACCTTTGCCTCCCTCCAAAAATTATTGCAACTGTACAGATTAGGTGCTGCTTTGGTGTGATTGCTCCTTTTCTGGTTGCTATTGAGTTTCAGGCCAAGGGCTGCTTACCACAACTTGTGGTCCTGACAGATGACTGATTTTGCTTATCTGTATTAATTGTGTATCACTTCTCACTTCCTAACCTGTTTGTTGTCTTCCTCTTTTTCTCCTTCACACCAACACTTGTGTAGGCTAAGGGCCTGGTGAGGCTGCTTATGGACATCAGCACTTTCTAAAAAATGTCAGGGTGTGGCTCAATTAGCCAGACACCTAGAACACCAGTGTCTATGCTTGGGAGTAATCTGTGATTGTGGAATAAATAAGCCCACTCATCTCAAATTTCGGGGGCCCTTTGAGAGATGAGCTAATTCTATTCTTGGGGAAGTGGTGGTAGAAAGCATTTCTGCCTGGCTGCAGCTGCTCTTCCCAAATGCAGATAGCAACCCTAGCTTCATTACTCACAAAGCTGAAAAGTTAAAAAAAAATCCTTTCTCCTTGAAAGATTTGTGGCTAGAGTGAGACAGCTACATTCCGAAGCAAGCTTAATTGATTAATATGTCAAAGAGTAGCATACACATCAGAAATATCATTACCTCTGAAGTACCTGAATTTCTATAAAACAGTCTTAATACTTTTACAGTCTCTAACAATACCCAGAGACACTTTCCATATAGCCAGAGAAAAAAAAACTAATTTATTATTTGATTATCAGAGTGTGATGACCCATAGTCTCTCAAAACAACCCAAAACCCAAAACATATATTAAAGTCCGGTAAAGCCTTCAACTTAACTTCACTGTTTTATTAGGCACAGTTTAAAGTCACAAAAGTAAATAATGAAGCAAACAGAAAACTAAAACAAACTGCATTGATGAGAGCTCTGAAGCAAGCCGAGATAACTAATTATAAACTCCAGGAAAATAACCAAGAAAAGTCCATGGGAAGAACGCCAGCAAAGATAAGCCTCTTTCAAGGTGAACACTAATTGACTTCAGCAATTCTAACTGCGCAGTTGCAAACTTATATACATAGCTCCCACCTGCAAGCCACAAGGAGGATCATGGTAATCTCCTCTTCAGTAGACCTCGCTTTTCCCTGATCCTCTCCTCCCTGTGTGACCTAGGATGGATAGGGGATGGGCCTGGATCCTCCTCTGACCGCTCAGCTGGCCTCTACCCTTCCCCAGCCTCCTCCACCACCTCTGGAGCCACACTCCCACTCCCTGTTGGCTGTTCCTCCTCTTCCTCAGAGTCAGATTCCACCAGGGGCATGACACTATCCCCCCCGCAGGGCCCCCTCCCCCGGGACCAGGAGGACAAGGACATTGAGGAAACCGAGCGTGAAGGTCCTGGACCAAACAAGGAGCATGAACATCAGTGGCATCGATCCACGTGAAGTCCTCTGGTCCATAACCTTTCCATGCCACCAAATACAGAAATCGGCCCTGCAACTGGCGTGAATCTTGGATACTATCCACTTTGTATTCCTCCTCTCCCAGAGGGGCTACTGGGGCTGGCTGTGATGGAGCCGGTCTATGCGGACTTTCGGGCGAGGCAGGGACTAACAGGGAACGATGAAAAACAGGATGGATACGCAAGGTCCGTGGCAGGGAGAGACAATAAGCCACAGGATTGATCACCGCCTCCACCGGAAAAGGTCCCAAGTAACGGTGATCGAGCTTTTTCGATGGTCGCGTCATTGGTAAATATCGAGTAGAGAGCCAAACCCGATCGCCGACCGTTAAAGGTGGAACATCGTGACAATGTCGGTCTGCAAACCATTTATAGTCTTCCTTGGCTCTCTCTAGTTGATCGCAGACCATGTGGTGCACAGCTTTTAACTCCTGCAAAAACGTATCCACTGCCGGAACTGGGGAATCAGACGGGGCTAAAGGGAAAAGTCATGGATGAAACCCATAGTTAGCAAAAAAAGGGGGGACACACGGGTGGATGCATGTTGAGCATTGTTATAAGCGAACTCTGCCACCGGCAGCACCTCCACCCAATTGTCTTGTTGAGTATTGCTGAAACAGTGGCCGTACTGCTCCAAAATAGCATTCACTCTCTCTGTGTCCCCATCAGTTTCGGGGTGATGAGCAGACGACAGACACGTCTGAACCTGCAGTTTTGCGAGTAGGGTCTGCCAGAAGCGTGCCGTAAATTGTACCCCCCGATCTGATATCATGTGGTCTGGTAACCCATGCAACCGGAAAACATCGGAGATAAACAATTTAGCCATTATCTTGGCTGATGGAAGACCTGCACATAGCATAAAGTGGGCCATTTTAGTCAACATATCCACCACCACCAAAATGGTTGTGGCACCATTCGATGGTGGTAACTCAACAATAGAATCCAATGAAACTGCCCCCCACGGTCGTTCTGGCGTGGGCAAGGGCTGCAAGAGACCAGGGGGCGCACCAGGAGCATACTTGGCTTGGCGACAGATCCCACAGGACGCCACATATCCCGACACATCATGTTTAAGTCTCGGCCACCAAAATGTCCTAGAGATGAGGTGCAGTGTTTTGAACACCCCAAAGTGTCCTGCTGCTGGACTATCATGACATTGACGTAGGATAAGGCCACAAAGAGGACCTCCAGGCACATAAATGCGATCACGGAACCGCAACAGGTCCCCAATATACGCCCAAGGAGTCTCTTGTCTCCCATTCTCATCCAATTCTCGACGTTGAGCTGTCACAAATGGGTCCTGCCTTCCTGAATCCTCATTTGAAGGTCCACAGGTTCCTCAGTCGCAAACCTCTCCGATAGAATCACCGTCCGGGGCAAGATTTTATCCTCCCTTCGGGTATACTCGGGCTTCCGAGATAGGGCGTCGGCGCGTTGATTCCCTCCACTTGGAACATAGGTCACCCGGAAATCAAATCGAGCAAAGAATAAGGACCATCTCACCTTACACTAGTTCAATAGCCGAGCTGTACGTAGGTGTTCCAAATTGCGATGATCCGTCCTAACCTCGATTTGGTGACGAGCCCCCTCCAGGTGGTGCCACCATGTCTCAAAAGCGACCTTAACCGCCAATAGCTCCGTGTCCCAAATCGTATAGTTGCACTCTGGAGCCGAGAACTTCCGGGAATAATAAGCGCACAGGAACAAGGTGCCTGCTGGAGGAGCACTGCACCAACAGCCACATTGGAAGCATCTGTTTCCACCACAAATAGCTGGCCTGGATCAGGGTGTTTGAGGATAGGCTCAGAAGCAAAGGCGACTTTCAACGCCTTGAAAGCTGCCTGCTTCTCAGCACCCCAATGGAACTTCTCCCTCTTCTTGAGCAGATTAGAAAGGGGAGCAGTCAAGGCAGCAAAGCAGGGAATAAATGTGCAGTAGTAGTTCGCAAACCCCAACAGTCGTTGCACATCCTTAACCCACTGTGGAGGTTCCCACTCCTGCAACGATTGAATTTTTTCCAGGTCCATTTCCACCCCAGCAGGTGAAATACAATGTCCCAAGAAGTCAATCGTGGTTTGTGCAAACTGGCACTTCTCACGTTTAGCAAACAGGTGGTTATCACGCAAACGTTGCAACACTAGCCGCACTTGCTGCCAATGTGCCTGCAGGAAGTCTGAGTAAATCAAAATGTCATCTAAATAAATGACCACGAATTGATCCAACAAATCACAGAAAACATCGTGCATGAAATGCATGAACATAGCTGGGGCATTGGTTAATCCAAAAGGCATCACGTTATACTCAAAATGCCCATACCTCGTCCGGAAAGCTGTTTTCCACAGCAATTCTAACTGCGCAGTTGCAAACTTATATACATAGCTCCCACCTGCAAGCCATGAGGAGGATCATGGTAATCTCCTCTTGAATAGACCTCGCTTTTCCCTGATCCTCTCCTCCCTGCGTGACCTAGGATGGAATAGGGGATGGGTCTGGATCCTCCTCTGACTGCTCAGCCAGCCTCTACCCTTCCCCAGCCTCCTCCACCACCTCTGGAGCCACACTCCCACTCCCTGTTGGCTGTTCCTCCTCTTCCTCAGAGTCAGTCTCCTCCAGGGGCATGACACAGAGTCTATATAAACAAAGCATGCTAAGCACCTTTAATTAAAATATGGAAAACATAAAAAGTAATTACATCATTGCCAATTTATTATGTTCAACTAATATTAGGATTCAGTTGATTACTTAAGTAACCCACGGCTTACCAAAATATATGAACTCACTCTATTCCTTTTTGTACCAAGTGAAGGTCGTATTTTCCTTTGTATAATATTCACATTCTCATGCATAGGTTATTCCTATCATGACTTTTTCATATGCCTATATTTTTCATAATTTCTTGAGTATATGCTTCTTTGTGATTTGGAACCACTTTTTAAAACTTTGGACAAAGTATTTTGTATGCTTTTTGGATGATTCTCTCTACAAACAGGTCCATGAAGAAGCAACTGGTAAACTTCCACATTAAGGAAGAATTTTATGTGCAGCATATGCTTTCTCTCCTTCCCTGCACTCCTGCAAGAGTTGCCATCCTACCTAGTCTCTCCAATTCAGCCATATCATTTAATCAGTGTAAAAGTGGCAAGGAGAAAATATGCCTCAGAAAAATAGGAAGGTAGCAAAGAGGAGCTGCATTTGGAAAGCACTCGTTCCTTGCATTATTTCTCAATTTATCATTTAAAAATTAAGTAGTGCAATATCAACACCTCACTTAAACATGAAATATGACTTCAGTATATCATATATTACCATGATTAACGTCTCTTGACAAATTAAAATTAAAACCCTTATTATTGTTGAAACTTGTATACATTCTCAAAACTTGAATAAAAACTAATATTGAAAAAAAATATTGAAATTAAGTACTCACATATTCCTTGACATTTTTTGTTTTTACAGCTTTGTAGGAATAATAAGCAGGATACAGCATTCCACAGACCAACCTATATGTAAAGAAAAATATTTTAAATGAACAAAAGTACACAGTAATCATGGAAGCTAAGAATACATATTACATGAGGGGGAAAAAGGGAAAGAACATATTCAGACAACTGTAATTTCAAACTATGTCTGTTCTGATCACAGCTATTGAGCACTGCATTCTTTGGGCATCTCTCATAGATCAAAACATGCCTTTTAAAAAATACTGAAAGTTTGCACTAGGATTTCAGATCTTTTCACACCTATTATTTTGCAGGGAAAAAGACAAGAACAACTAGCTGGCTTGAATAAGGGCTATAAGGCTTTGAAAGACTATTTTATAAAGGAAAAACCTAGTAGAAACAGAAACAATATAGTTCTGAACCAGCCATAACTCAGCTTTTTTTGACAAAACTGTTTATTGTTTCAAACAGATAATCTGTCATGTGTAATTTCTTGAGTGTACTATGACTACAGATTAGAGTAAAACATAGACAAGTTGGTTCATTTATAATTTTCCATGTCTGGCAGAAAAATGGTACAATTCAGAGCAATATCTTCCCTTTTTTGGCACATGTCAGAGCAGGAGTGATAGAAGAGATCCCATTTTCCACAACTTTGTCCCTAATTATCCTAATCCAAATTTAGCCCTTTTATTTTTGTACCAGATGTTCATTATGTAAAGAAGTACTTCTGAGGACATACATACAAATACCTCATGCTTATCTAAAACTACTGGATGTGCCAAATTAAAAAACTGAGGTATTTCTGAAACAGTACTGTAAAAAACTAAGCTAAAGAATGAAACGGGAAAACATTTATTTTTCAATGTAACCTACCAGAATAAATCTGCTTTGGGATGCAAGGACAAGGTGTGTAACAGTGTGTGTTTAATTATTACTGGTATACCGGCTAGGTTCATATATTATGCTATGACCTGGTTTATTTCAAGCATACTTTATTGAAAATGAAACCTAAAATGTACTATATTATGGCCTCATGCAATGTGCAAACCAGGCCATTAACTTGAGTATGCATTTTTATTGGTTGCTAAAAATTGTAGATGTCCAGTTTCATTATATTATACACTGCTTTTTAATGAACATTATTTTTACAAATTTATTTAACCATTTTATAGGCATTTTGATTCTTCTCCATATAAGTGTTTTCTCTAAACTGGAGAAAATTTGACAAGGAATCTGAAAGTATCAATGGTGTAAAGCAGTGGTTCTTAATCTTTTTGAAAGAATTGCCCCCTTGAGCCATTGAGGAAATTATAATCGCGCCCCTCCCCCAACATAACCTCTCAATCACAACACACAAATAATTCTTCAATTTATGCAAACACGTTTTTTGTTTTCTTTAAAATTGTCACCAGGACATATCGATGCAAATAATTTATTTCCAGTCTTTTTCCCATATCTCAACTGTGTGAAAAATTCTGATGCCACCCATCACTTTACTCCCAAACTTCGTGATACATGTATTTCATTATTATCTTATTTATTCAAGACACTTAAATGTAATGACCACTGAAAACAAAATTCAATTGCAAGAAAATGAAATGCCCCCCCCAAACAGTAACATTTAATGATTTAATTACAAGTGAATTTTAAGACGCAAAAAGAAATATAAAAAGGGCATAAGAACCACAATGCAGGAACTAAGAATTTCAAGACAAAAACTCTGAAACTAAATTCAGATTCGAGGAAAATATATATTCATGCACACTGTAAAAAGGGTTAAAAAGACACAAAGAAAATTTTTACAGAAGGAAAGCAACAAAAATCAGAGCGACAAATTTAATGGGTAGAGGCTGCTGCGCAACGCGCATGAAGATGAGTGATGCATATTCACATATGTACGGCATTCTGTACAGAAGCTAGCTGGAGGGACATTTTAAAATACAAGTACAATCCACTAATAGCGAGTGATCTGATGTTTTTGTACGACAGATATAAGCGGTTCACTGTACGAAAAAAGTCTCAAAAGTGTCCCCAAATCTTCTCGCTCCATCGCCCCCATATGACCCCCCTTCCATTCCTTCGCCCCCGTGTCGCCCCTTTTCATTCCATCGCCCAGCTGAAAAACGAAATCGCCCCCTGGGGGGCAATATCGCCCAGGTTAAGAACCACTGGTGTAAAGCACCACATCTATATCCTTTTAACTTACAGGTTATATTTAATCATAAAGGAGAGAGAACCCACATATCAACAGCCAACAAATCTTTTGTTCCAAGAAACACTTGCCCCAGTTCAAAGTAAATGGATAGAAACTAGTTGTAGACACTGAATAAGATTTCAGAAACTTTTAGAAACAATGAGCCAGGAAAAATATTGGATCCTTACTGCAACCTGACAAGTGTATGTATATGAGATGAGTCTTATGCCTTACTGGATCTATATAGGCAAACTTCTTCTTCTTCCTAGGCATAATCAGTACTGACAATTGTTGGTTGTCTGATAAGGTTAAACTAGATCCACAAACTCCCCTTCAAGAAGAAGTTATTCCTATTGGATTGTTTTTCAACCAAACTTGAATGGGAGGGAGAGAAGGAGGGAGGGAGGGGGGTAGGGAGGGAGGGAGGAATTTTGGAGGTCTTCTAATCCAACCCTCTGCCCAAGGCAAGAGTTCCATAAGTTCCATAAGAAGTTATCCATAAGAAAAAGTATACCATTATTCTTTTTTAACAGGAAAATATATCCATCGAACTGAAGAAGCTTCTCGGATGAGAAGCAAAACATCTTCAAGGAAAAACAAAGAAAGTCCAGTTGCCTTTTGACAAAATATCTTTGTGACAACCATGACCTGGATGACTGAGAATCTTCATAGACATATCCACCCGAAAATCCATTATAATTTTACCAGCATTTCAGGATTTTTAAAAGTTACCATCTTTCCATAAGGCTTTTGTTTTTCTAAACTTAAATTGCTAGCTTCTATTTAACACGGTTTCCATGGTAGCCCGGTGAACTATGCTTTAAATCAGCAGATGGTTGTTTTCAATTCAAAACATGAGTTGGCAGCAGCCCAACTCTTTCAAGTATTTCCTAAGGCTTCTATGACTGTAGAAAAACAGGTTTAGAGCAAATGTATTCAATAGTTTATTAAAGCTGGACTGCATGTAAAGTAATAAACTCATAATCTATCTACATTAATCTCCAACATGTTCTGACACTAGGCCCTACCCATGTTAGCCATCTAGAAGCCAGACTAAATTATTCATTGCTTGTAACAACACAGCAATATATCTTTCCAAGAGAATAAAAGTGGTAACAAAAGAAGCAACATATTTTCTTAATCAAAGCCAAATAGCAGTTTTAAGCAGCTTCTACACTGCTCCATCAGGGAATGTCAAATTTTTGGTTTACTTTACACAATAACAAGATCCATCTCCATAACATCTTAAATGAAAGCATGGGGGGGGGGGGGGGTTTGATGATAATTTCACGTACTATCAACATTTTCCCCCATTTTCTATCTTGTAAAAATTTGCACTTTATGAATATTCAGCATGAATATTTGAGTACGAGGGTACTCAAAGAATCTGCCTTTACTGGATACAGGGTTGAAGGTGACTTTGGAGATAATAATCATCATGATAACTGACCAGATTATTGAGAGCTGAAGTCACAGTTGAGTTCAAACATCAGATCAGGTATTTGTCTTGGAGCAGAGTATATTACGATTGTTTGTTTGTCATGGTCAAGTTCCTCCCACGTGGCCTTGGAATTCTTTGTAGCTACTTCCTGCCACAGGGAGAAAGAACCTGTTCAGCTGGTCTGATCAGGTGTCCCATGGACCCTGCTGGATTTCAGAGTGGCTCCTGAGGCTCTAATGTATGGTTTGTTGCTCAGAACAAGATGGTAGCGATGGCCTTAAGACAGAATCACACCTCTGTGTATTCTCCCTTACAGATCCCAGAAGGATTCCAAGAGACAAAGTAGCAGAAGACACATCTATAACATCATTGGAGGAAAACAAAGAGCAAAACCAATCAAGCATAAATAAGAACCTTCATTAAAGATTACTTGTGGCAATAAAAGCCACAAAACACAAGACCCTGGTGGAAACAGACTATCTAGATCTTTTTAAGTCAGATTTGAAGATGAGAAATACATTGAGGTAATATTGATTGTACTTATAAATGATATTTGGCAGCACTGAGATGGAGGTAGTGCACCTATTCTGGTCTTCCCTAATGTCTCAATGGATTTCAAAATCATGGTACCTTTAAAGGTTAGGAATGGGGCCATGTTGTTGCTATTGTTCTCCACCTTCTTCTTCAGCCAATTTTAGTCAGTGTTGGCGAGGGAAAGATATCTAGATACTAATTTTATGAAGTTCAGAGCTCAGTGATCCTATTTAATATTTACACAAAGCTACTAGAAGATAACATTTTTCAGCACAGGATTCAATTAGTATGCTATACTTCTCAATCCCAACTAATCAAGTGATGCTGCCTAGATTATTCCAGTGTCTGGGTGCTGCCAACATATGGATGGGAAAGAATATGCTTCATGTTAACCCAGACCAGACCAAGTGACTCGGAGTTTTATGATCGTTTGGACCTTCCATGTTTAGTTCTGGATGGGACTCCACTCAGAAAAAAACTATTTCAAAACTTGGGGGTTCTTGCTGACTCACAGTTTGAGAAACAGGTGACAGCCGTTGACAGAGAACCTTTGCACAACTTCATTTTGTATATCAATTATGCCCATTCCTGGATAAGAGGCCTGCTCACAATCACCTATGCCCTGGCCACTTCCCATTGGGACTAATACTAATCCATGTGGGGCTGTTCTTGGAGCCAACCAGAAGTCACAATTGGTCAGATGCAGTGGTACAGATAGTCATGCACTCACCGTGGCATGTCCGTGAAACTCCACTACTTTGTGAACTGCACTGTTCTAAATTCTGTGTAAATTGTCTAGACTCTAGAGTCACAATTTATAAGATGGTAATTATATAAATCAATCAAATATATACTTAAACAATTGACCTCAAAGCCCTCCCTGCAGGC